CTCTTTTTCTTCAAAAATGCAAAACGGAATCCATGAAATGTCTTTTATGGAACAATCTGCCTTTTGATATAAAGATGTGTAAAAATGTTGAAAATTTTAAGATTAAACTGAAAACTCATTTATATTGCACACTGAAGGAACCATAATATTCAACTGATGACATACTTATTATTTTTAACTTGCAACTGCATTCTATCTTATTTTGTGTGTAATTATAGTGTTCTTCCTATATTCTATTTGTATAATGTATATGTTTTATAGTTTAGGAGTGACTTGCCAAACTTCCCACTTTAAAATGCTATTGCATTTCAAATGATTTTGAATTTATCCTGATATTACATGTATATATGTCTTTGTAGCTTTAGGAGGGACCTATGGAAGATTAGTTTTTTTTGCAAACGAAATACGTTGCCTCATTAAATAAAGTTTTTATTAGGCTTTCAGACTTTTGTCTGAAAGCCTATTGAGATTACTTAAATTATTATTTATTTTTATTATTATTTTTTTTTTTCGCTGGAGCCTATTTCTCAGTGCCTGTAACAGATACCGATATGGGACCTAATTTTCTATTGGGAAACCATGTGGTGGCTACTTGATAAACTATTTTTGAAACTTCTGCGCAGACCAGAAGTGGCCGAATTTCGTGCAGTGCCAAAAAATTAAAAAACAACCGTAGCTTCGTCAATTCTGTACCTATTTTCATACAAATGACATTTTCAGAAACCCTGAGTCTTTTGTCGGACGATAGCAGTTGAAAATTTTGAAATTTCGAAACTTCGTTGCTGACCTCTAGCGTTTGAAAAATGAAAATTTTGTTTAACAGACAATTTTTGTTATTTTTTAAAATTTTTAAATTTGACGTACATTTTTGGATACCTGAAGACCATCCGATTCCGAGTTATCGCCCTTTATTTCCCAACCCTTATATTTTTGGGAAAGGATGAATCGATATTTCTGAAAGTCCTGGAACATAAAGCTATATAGTCAGACCGCTGGATAAAGCAATTTCAACAACGATCCGGAAACCGGAAGTAGTCGAAATAATATCTGATATTTCGGAAAAAAATAAAAAAATGGATGTTTTGGGGAAAAGCTCGATTTCTCCGTCCAATATCAATGGATTAAACGAATTAAGCTTTCGTTGAGTGGCCCGAGGAATGGACTGTCGTATGATGCCCAATTTATACGGATATTATGACCAAGCAGCAAAATATGACAAGCTGAAAATCAAGTATTTTCTGATTTGGGGCGTTTTTGGACGCCTGTATCTTGAAATCTTAACCGCAACTTTTTAACTTTCTCTATCGTGAGTCCATTCGATAGTCTTGTGAATTATGCCATCCAATAAGACTTTGAAATGTCTGGAATACGTTAAAAAAGGGACTGAAAATCGAAAAAAGTCGAAAAATCGTGAAATTTTGCAAAATGCTCTATTACTTTATTATTTAAACAAATTTTTACTAAAAGATGACAGATTCGGATAGCTGACCTAAGTACGATTCTAACGATGTATAATATGTATTGAGTTATTGAAATTTAATTTTTGATATTTTGACATTTTTGCATTTTTGGCACCTTTGAACATAGGATTTCTCAGGGTCATTTTATCTGATCAGATAATGTAATATATCATTACAGAGCCCTGCCGCTATTTTATTGCCCAAACTGGTTATTAAAACTATTCCGACAATAATCTCCATACCGGAAGTATTCAAAAAATGAAAAAAAAAGGTTAAAAAATTGTCGCTCTTGCGAAAAGCTGGATTTCTCGGTCAGATATTATTACCGGACCAAAAGAAGTAAAGTGTCTTTGGATAGCCCCATTAATGGACTATTATATGGCATCTCAATGGTACGATTTCGATGGTTAGAAAATAAATTGTGGTACGCCGAAAATCTAGTATTTTCTGTTTTTGGGGCCTTTTTAGATGTCTTTTTCTCGAAAACGACAACTCCGATTTTTCTTAAACTTTTTTAACGCAGCGTCCTATGGGTGGGCTATGGCGTGAGTCCAACAATAAAAGCATTGAAATAACATAAGTTGTCCAAAAAGAGCCTCAATCTTGAAAAAAAGTTGAAAAATCCTTAGATTACTGAAAATGATCTTCTAATTTTCTTCCTTTGGAAAACAGCTGAATGGATTATTCTGAAACTTCTTGTACAGAAGGTAAGGTAACCAAACAACTTGTTAAAGCTATCCCGACAATGATCCCAAAAACGGAAGTAGTCGAAAAAAATTTGGATATTTTGAGAAAAAAAACGCGTAAAAATTAATAAAATGGAGATCTTGCAAAAAAAGTGATTACTACGCCAGATTTCACCGAATCAAAACAACTAAAGTGTCATTGGATAGTTCGAACAATGGACAATCTTATGAGATCTAAATGGTAAAAATTCGCGGGTTAGGCAATACCGTATTTTTCGGTGTATAAGGCGCATGCGTAGATAAGGCGCAGGGCGACTTTGGCAGAGGTGTTTCAGGAAAAAAAATATGCGTGGCTTAGGCGCACCCTTTCCCAGCGCGTGTGAAACTCGTGCCATAACATATGTGACTCAAATCCACCTGCGATCTCCAGTAACTAGGTCAATCTCTATTGTTTACAGTTATAATAATTACCGATATTTAGCCGTATCAAGCTTTATATAATTATATTTCTTTATGAAATAAATTGCTTTTGTTACATTTGTTTATATAAATTATAACACGCAATTGCATTATTGCATAACTTTCAGCTGTAATTCTGTTGCTCGTACGGTAGTGAAATTGTCATTCAAGTCCCGCCCACAACAAACATGGCCGTCTATTACATCGTGTTAAATTCGTGAGTAATTGTCTGTGATAAATGAATCGGTTTTGATGATAAACAAATTAAATAATACCTGTAGAAATAATATATCATGATCAGCTACTCACAACTTAAATCCTGACTACCGGTAAAAGAGAAACAACAATTCCAGTTTACTCCAAGTTATGCAAACAACTGACAAACGATAGCGTCTGTTGCCCCGCCCACTCCACGCGTCATGACAATACCCAGATTGTAGCCATTTAGATCTATCAGTAAAATAATACAATAGCATTTTTAATACCAATCAAAAAAACAATGATTTTGTCAACTACAAACAACTTCATAAAGAAAACGGTAACAACTCACTGGTAGATAATTAACTATACCGGTAAAATAATACAATAGCATTTTTAATACCAATCAAAGAAACAATGATTTTGTCAACTACAAACGACTTCATAAAGAAAACGATAACAACTCACTGGTAGATAATTAACTATACCGGTAAATTATAACAATGGGCCAATCACTGAATCCATGTTGAATGAAAACCGTCGGTAACTTAAAACGGTTACTAAAAGACAGTCTTGCTCAAAGAAAACACCCCGATGTATATAAAACACCAGTGAACATTCCATCATTCTTAAAAATTATTTATTCAGAATGGCTACGAGACGAACCGCTTATACCGCTAAGGAGAAGTTGAGGGTAATTAGTTACGCTGAAGCACACGGTAATAGGGCCGCGGGTCGTGAATTTAGTTTGGGGGAGTCAAACGTGAGACGTTGGAGGGCGATGAAGGGGAAACTTACCGACATGAAACCTATTAAAGAAGCGAATAGGTGGAGCGCCGCACGTTATCCTCAAATTGAGAGAGAATTGGTATTCTGTCAGTTTAACTGTAATCCCGCCCATTAACGCTGTCATTGTAACAGACAATACCCATAGCCTATGGTATCATGGTATTGAGCGTGTGCTCAATGGAAATTACCCTTCTAATAGCCAATGAAAACTCTTTGTCTGTCGTAAGCCCCGCCTTTTCGTCAACTTGACTGATATCACCGTTGACGACACACTGTTTGGATTGCGACAGTGGCTAACTGTACCGGTAAACGGATTAGCAGAAATATATGTCATCAAATACGCAGGAATAATAGAAATATTAACGAGAATTTTGCAGATATTGTTAGCACTGTCGTTTATGACTAACGGTATACGGAAAAGCCGGAATAATAGAAATATGACTAACGGTATACGGAAAAGCCGATACCGTATCTTAAATGGCCGCCATATTTATTGCACGAAAAATGACGACATCGGAATGTCGGAATAGCAGAAAAATATGTCATCTAATTATTTACGATATCTTTGCAGATATTTTAATAACACTAAACCGCTATTGACCCATATTGTTGCCACTGTCGTCTATGACTAACGGTATACGGGATATCGGTATGGGAAATGGCCGCCATCTTTATTGCTGTTGTCGATATGATCAACTTCAGACCTCGATGTTGACACACAGAAAAGCCAAGATTTGCTTAATACTATGTATTAGGCGCACCCCTTCTAGAAAATAAAATACCTGGTAAAAAAAGTGCGCCTTATACACCGAAAAATACGGTATATAATGGAACGCTGAAAATCTATTATTTTCCTTTTTGGAGCCTATTCAGACGCTTTTATTTCGAAAACTTCTCTTATTTCCTTTCTTAAACTTCTGTTACTTAGAGTCCTAACGGTGGTCTATGGTGTGAATCCAAATTTAAAAGCCTCCATATAGTATAAATGGTCCAAAAGGGCCACAATCTTTGAAAAGAAGTCGAAAAATCGTTATATCTGTAAATCTGCTTCTAATGGTATAAGGAGGTAAAACTGTCCAATGGATCTTCCTGAAACTTCTGGTACAGGAAATTAAGTTCCCATACCACTTGTTAAATCTATCCCGATAATGATCCGTAAACAGGAAGTAGTCCTCTGGTTTCCTCCCACTGCTAAAGACCCCTTCGCGCAAGCGAATTGTTGAAATAAAAAAATTAAACCATACGTTAGTCCCGAAATGACCTAGTTTGTGTCGAGTGGACGTTAAACCCTATTTCTGTTTCTCTCTGTATGTTATTATATATTTTGTTAATGATGTATATGATTGTATGTTATTATATATTTTGTTAATAATGTATATGATTGTATGTTATATTTTGTATTTTGTAGATGCCACCAAATGCACCTGCATCTGTTACATTACAACCAGCGCCAGGTGATACGGGCAAGGTAGGTAACTCTAATATACAATATTTGGGGTATTTTAGGGACAGACATCGGTACATGTATATTTTTAGATACTAGATGTTAATAATAACATCACAAATACACAAAAAAAGGGATTTTGCCTGACATAGCTAGAATTTGTGCCTTATTTCCAGGCTTGTTTGAACATTTGTTGTGATTGGTAGGTTAAATCAGAATCGTGAGTCTTGTCAAATTTTTTGTGTTCTTTTACCTGATTCTCAATAATATTAAGAAAATAAAGACGAGTGGACCAAGCAACTGTGACCTAAGTAACATGCCGGGGAGACTGAAATTAACTTAGCTGTGAAGAGTTCCACATTTAGCGTGCCAGGAAGGGATCCGAGTACAGTTATTTTATAGTGATGTAAATGGTGCACTGCCTGGAACAGTTCCGATAACTAAATGCTTATCGCGACCCATCTTCAATAAAAGGCTTGATCTCGCTTTAACTTCCTAAATCTTATCAAGGCCTTCACGTAATACCCTGTATATTTCGCCACTAATTTCGATTGGGTAAAAGCCCAGCTTGTGAGCCTATCAAAGACCTTGATTGTCGTGAATACCAAGTCTCGCGCTTTTAAGCTAAAATGTCTACATGTGATAAACAGGTGGCAGAGTTCAAGGTTCGTTCAATATCAAGGTTTCTGTGGAGGTCGCTATGTCACAGCCTTTGATTGAACGCTACTGTTCATATGTCTGTAGATAACGTAGTTATAATTTCGGGAATTGTGATGTAATCTAGCAATGGCCAGATGTTGTAAAACTTGCAGTCATTGTTTCAGGAACATGGTCGCGGCCAAGTGTAAACAAAGCCATAAGATATGTTTAATGTGTTATAAATCCCATTTCTATTAATATTGAATGTTTTTATTGTAGCCATGTGGAGTTGATTATGAATTAAAAACTTTTGTAGCAGATAACGTTGATGAAAAACCACATAAAAGGTTGGTAAACTTTCATTCTTTTAATTTCTTAACCATATATTTTTCCCGCCGAAAAAAACAAAACTTATCTATTAGGTTTTTTTCAGTAATTTTTATTTACATTTTACTTTCAATATATACATGTATGTATAAAATTTTGGTGTTACAATTTAAAAAATTCTTTTCTGCTTTGCAGAGGCCCCTTTTTTGAAAGCTTGCCATGGTTAAAAAAGAATTGCCATACAGGAAAAAATTAACGCCAAAAATTTCGCCAGATTGAATATTTTATTGCCAAAATTATATTTTTATCACAAATGATGGAAATCTTAAATTATAATAGGGAAATATGTTAGGCCCAGAATGACGAGGTTAGTGTTATGTGGACGTTTAACAGTTATCACCTGGTACATGTAAATACTGACTACCATAGAACAGTGAACAGGTTATAGAAAAGGGATCTTGTTTTTACATTGAGTTTTCTAGCCAATCTTCTAAGCCACTTCAGGAAACTACTGCTCCCTTTAGCAACTCAACCACCTATGTCACAGAACTAGTTCATAGCTATTTCTTGAAACTAGTGCAGTTTGGGACACTAGAGCGAACTCTAGTTTCTGGTGGTCCAAATTCTGAAGGGCTAAACCTTACATCTCTTTCATTCAACCACCTTCAAATAAATGAATTTAGCCCATGTTTTAAATAAATGATTTTAAATGAATGATTTTAACCTATGTGTTTTAAATGAATCATTTTAACCTATGTGTCTCAAATCAATGATTTTAACATGTGTTTTAAGTGATTGATTTTAGTCTATGTGTTTCAAATGAATGAAACTCTGAATTTAAAATATAGTCATGTTGATTTTGTGAAGCTTTTAATTTCTTGTACTACAGGAACTCCGTCCGTTTGGCCATCCGTAAACTTACGTATGCCCCAGAAGAACCTGCTCCACAGCCGAGTGCTGAAAATGTGAAAGATTTTATGATGAGTCCCGGGAATATCAGACTAGAAGCATCGCTAGACAAAGAGGTATAGATATGTTAAATCTTGTGTTGATTTTCTGTATTACGAGGGGGTTGGATGAGTCAACTGGCGCGGTTTCTTTTCCCCGGTTGTATGTGACAAGGAGAGGGTCGACTGTCCAACCTTGTGGGTTTTCTCTGGGTCATCCGGTTTCCTCCCACTGCCATAGACCCCTACAAGATGTACAGCAAATACTAAATAGTATCTTCCATCCCAATTTAATTGTTGAAATGAAAATATACTGTGTTATAAAAAAAACATTTTCTGGGGCCTTTCTGGGGTTCGGTGGTCGAATGACTAATGCATGCACATTTGATCACAAGGTCTGTCATTGAGTCAAGTGGCGTGGTTTCAATTCCTCGTGGGTTTTCTCAAGGTCCTCTGGTCTGTCATTGAGTCAAAGGCTGCATCGTTAAAATATTCTAATTTAAATACTTCAACAGATTTACATGAACTATTTATTTCAAAAAATATAAACCTCCTTATTGATTTCCCTGATCAAAGGGAAGTAATTCCATTAAGTACCATAGGCTCAATTATCAAGTACATATTGCTATAAGGAAATGACAAGGATCTTTTGCTTATTTTGTTTAAAGATATTTTAAGTCCATTCTTTCATGAATGATAATTACACTGTGATCAATCTATTAATGAGAGAGAAATTACTGAAATTTTACTGTATTAGTGTCCGAGATGAGAGGAACTAGTTTTTATTGAGCGGATGTTAAACCTCATTCTATGTTTTACTTCTATCGTGAATATATGAGACCAGTTAAGAATTTACTCTACTTTCAATCACTGTTTATTTGTGAAATATCTTTGATCTAGAAACACAAAACTTTGCACACATAGTTTATTATTGATGTATTTGATACATTAAAACAACAAAAGTTTTATAAAGGGCTATATTTTAGATAAAATAAAGAGAACAATTTTGAGTAAATTCTGAAGTTAAGTCTGAGAACTCGGGGCCTGAAGACTGATGTCCTGATTACCAGAAATGATTAGTTCAGTCTGACCCCGAGTTCACAAAGCATTCTCAGACTTAACTTCAGAATTTACTCAAGTTTCAATCACCGTTTATGAAAAATATCTTTGATCCAGAAACACAAAACTTTGCACATAGTTTCTTATTGGTGTATTTGATACATTAAAATAACACAAGTTTTATAAATGTCTATACTTAAGTTAAAATAAGGCAAACAATTTTGAGTAAATTCTGAACTTAAGTCTGAGAATGCTTTGTGAACTCGGGGCCAGATATAATTCGATTCCAGCCTCGTGGGTTTTCTCCGGGTCTTCCCGTTTCATCCCCTGCTAAAAACTCCTATGTTCAAGTTACTTATTGAAATAGAATTGAACCATATGTTGTCAAACTACATGTATTTTATTGAATAATTATGTTTTGTCTTCCAGAAATATTATCATGGAGAAAGTCTGAATGTAAATGTGCTAGTCGATAATAATACAAACAAGACAGTGAAGAAAATCAAAATTTCTGGTAACAATTTACAGTGTTTGATTTGAACTACAGTTCTTGAGATTTCTTACTTTCAAAATCAATCTGATTTTAGATTTGCAAACAAAATTTAACATTAATTGTTCTATTTGATCACAAGAACTAATTGTTGTTTTGGGGACCTCTTGGCTGGTTTGTAAGTGTCAAAGGTGGAAGAGATGTGTAGCTGATAGGCAAATATTCTAATGTTCTATAGACTTTCGATTTCCCGGTTATACGTGGCAAGGAGTAGGGTTGCCTGTCCAACCTCGTGGGTTTTCTCCGGGTCCTCCGGTTTCCTTTCACTGCTAATGACCCCCTATGCCCAAGCCAATTATTGAAAAAAATCTTGTGTATTTAGCACTAATTTCTATCTTCATTCAATGTCAAATCTTTGTTTAAAATTCATCAAATCGTTTAAAATCACCAAAAATCATCTGATTTGTACTTGTGTCAAGTTTAAAGCTGACCATTCAATTTTGATAATGAGTGTCCAATTTAAAAGCAATTCATTTCTCGATCACTGTTAAAAATTAAAAAACCCAATTGGACTTTCATTATCAAAATTATTCAATCAGCTTTAAACTGGACACAAGTACAAATTAGATGATTTTTGGTGATTTTAAATGATTTTTACTAATTTTTAAACAAAAGATTTGATATTGAATGAATGTGAAAGAAATTGGAGCTAGATTAAATGATTTTAAATGATTTTTAAACAAAGATTTGATATTATACCAATCTGATTAAAACACAGATCCAATTTCGTTTCGTTTTTATAGTTCAAAATTTCGATTTTACTTGTCTTTATTACACTAGGATCTGGAAGCGTTGTTATTTAACTCGTGTTCTGCTTGAAATAAGGGGTCAACCAATCAAATGGTCTGTCGAATCGAGCGTGTGACCTTTTTTGCGCAGAACTGTGGGTAGACATTAGCGGCAATAGAAATCAAAACAAAGCAAAAGTAGGTAAAAAATACATGGCGGTCGCTAATTGGTTAATCGAATGACTGACGTAATCGGGTCAAATGTCGCTTGCTTGGTACCTGACGTCATAGAACGTGAACTCCCACTATAACTTGTTAGATCATCATGTAGTGTAGGCCATTGAAAGTATAAAAAACGAAACGAAATATAGATCTATATTTTAATTAGATTGATATTAGACAAATGTGAAAGAAATTAGTGCTAGATACACAAGATTAAATGATACCTGGGTTACAGTGTATCCCACTGTTAGGATGTTTTAGGAGTCCAGACTCGTTGATAGAGCATGTATAAAGATTAATACTCGATCTCTAGAATGTCTCTAAACGTTACATAATGTTGGTTGAGAATGTTCATTAGGATTTGTCATCGTGTTTTCCACTGCCTCGTTATGCAGGACTGAGAACCTGGCAATTAACAGGGTCTAGGTTGTTCGGACGGGACAAAAAATCAAGGTCAAGGGTACTTTTATTTTTACACCAACATGATCACTTAAAAGTTTTCCCTCATAGCACATTGCATGGTGTATGCCCATCTTTATTAGCCCTGTCGCTGCAGAGCAGTAGGATGTTAAACCCCATTTCATTTCATTTGACTAAAAAAAAAAATTGATTTAGCATATTTAAATTATAGTTTTACAATGTAATGAAATCCAGCTGTATGTTAATACAATGGCCTATGAATCTGTTGCCGAGGACGATAATGAGTAAGTCTAAATCTGACTGTCACAGCACTGTCACTTTACTGTCGTCGACAGCGACTTCACTTTGTTCACTTGTTTCAAACATGTTCAGATATCCTTGTCAGTAATAAACATGTTCAGATGTTAACAGTCCTGTTTATAATAAACATGTTCAGATATTAAGTCATGTCAGTAATAAACGTGTTCAATAGTCATGTCAGTAATAAACATGTTCAATAGTCATGTCAATAATAAACATGTTCAGATGTTACAGTGATGTCTATAATAAACATGTTCAGATGTTACAGTGATGTCTATAATAAACATGTTCAGATGTTACAGTGATGTCAATAATAAACATGCTCAACAGTCATGTCAGTAATAAACATGTTCAACAGAGTCATGTCAGTAATAAACATGTTCAATAGAGTCATGTCAGTAATAAACATGTTCAGATGTTACAGTGATGTCAATAATAAACATGCTCAACAGTCACATAAACATGTTCAGATGTTTCAGTGATGTCAATAATAAACATGCTCAACAGTCATGTCAGTAATAAACATGTTCAACAGTCATGTCAGTAATAAACATGTTCAATAGAGTCATGTCAGTAATAAACATGTTGAGATGTTACAGTGATGTCTATAATAAACATGTTCAGATATCCTTGTAAATAACATGTTCAGATGTAAATACATGTTCAACAGTCATGTCAGTAATAAACCCAGTGTTTTACTAAGCTTTTTAACAAGCCTAATCTAAACTATATTACTGTGTCCAGCCAGCATTTAGAAGAGTGTGTTCCATACATACAATGAGCAACTTATTTTTGCGTTATCTATATATTTTAAGTAAAATATTGTTTGTAAAGCAACAAAAAGGTATTTTCTTACCTAGTTTGTGCAAATGTTCTATTTAGTATAGACTTACTGCATTGTTCGGAACACACTCCTCCAAAAGTTTGCCTCCGGACAGACTTCCCACATTAATTGTTCGTAACACTCACTTCCGGTACGAGATTAAATACAGTGTATGTGGCATTGGAAACGGTTTATTTTCAGTAAGCAGACCTTTACTAATAAGGGTTGGGGGGGAGGGGGGGTAGATGGCCGAATGGTTAGCACGTGCGTGCTGTATCATAAGGTCTGGCATTGAGTCAACTGGCGTGGTTTCGATTCCCCAGTTTTACTTGACAAGGAGTAGGGTCGCCTGTCTAAACTTGTGGGTTTTCTCCGGGTCCTTTGGTTTCCTCCCAATGCTAAAGACCGCTACACGCAAGTGAATTATTGAAATAAAATTGAACCATATGTTAGTCCCGAAATGGCCTACTTTGTGTCGAGTGGACATTAAACCCCATTTCTCTCTCTCTCTCTCCCATTACTAATACTGTACTAAGGGATTGTAATACAATGTTATTGTGGGGCCCCATCAATATTTATTTATTCATGTCTCACTGATCACTCACTGTATATATTACTATTCATGTTTTTCTCTCTTGTTTGTGTCTAGTGCGCCAGTTTGCCGATATTTGTTTGTTCTCTACGGCACAATATAAATGTACTGTCGCAGAACTCGAAACAGAGTAAGTCTTTAGTTTTATTTGTTTGTTTGTGGAATTCGAATAAGCATAATCACTAGTAGTAGAACCGAGATCTCAGAACTTTCTTCTCTTCATTCAGGCCTGACAAAATGTCAGGCACTAATGAAATAGTACCTGACATTTTCAACTTAGTGTCTGACATGTATTAAAGACAAATCAGTGCTGGACAAAATGACAGGCACCAGAGGAATTGTGCCTGACAAAGCCTAAATCTTTGCCTGACATTGTCTGTGACCAGTGCCTTATTTCCATTGATTCACTAACATTAGTGGGGTTGAATGGCCGAATGACTAGCGCGTGCACGTTGTATCATAAGGTCTATCTTTGAGTCAACTGGCTTGGTTTTGATTCCTCGGTTGTATGTGACAAGGAGTTGGGCGGCCTGTGCAACCTTTTGGGTTTTCTCTGGGTCCTCTGGTTTCCTCCCACGGCTAAAGACCCCTACACGCAAGCGAATTATTGACATAAAATTGAACCATGTGTTAGTCCCGAAATGACCTAGTTTATGTCGAGTGGACATTGATGATTTCCATCCTTGAAAGTTAAGAAATCGGAATTGCCTAAGGATTGAAATTGAATCTGTGCGTTTAATGAATCTGTTAAAATACATCTGAGTTCAAGGGATAGAAGTCTGTTAAAATTCAACAGATATAACTCCCAATAAGTCATGGCCACATAATTACAGTCTGTTCAATTAATTGATACATTTTATATTAAGATCTTCTTTGGATATTTGAAATGTATTTAATTGAAAATTTGTGCATGTATTTTTCCTGAAGAATGTTTTGAGTTATCTTGGGATAACATGGTTGTCATACTAACATTTATAAATGCTCATCTTCTTGTCATTTTGTCATGTTTTATTTTTGCTTCAAGATCGTAATATTGTTATGTAGAGCCTCTTACTATTGTACGTGTGATATTGTCATAACAATTATTAACATCTTTTTCTTATTTTCATTGCTGTTAACCCTTTAGACACCGTCAGTAAGACTGTTCTTAAACTTTTTTTTATTAATTTTATTTTTTGATATTTGGTGTTAGAAACATGACTAGTTTATTGGTTTAGGTCTTACTACAATTTTTTTAAGATAAAAAACCACTTACTTTACACTTGATGATGGAAATGGAGATGTTGGATGGCCGAATGGTTAGCTGTATCATATGGTCCTGGGCTTTCTCTGTGTCCTCCGGTTTCCTCCCACTGCTAAAGACCCCTACACTCAAGCGAATTATTGAAATAAAATTAAACCATGTATTTGTCCCGAAATGACCTAGTTTGGGTCGAGTGGTCGTTAAACCCCATTTCTCTCTGTCTATTTGTTGATGGAAAGAAAATTAAAACACATATATAATCCTAATCTCCCAACTGTCATATCAGAATTATTGTTGACGAAAAGAAAATTTAAACAAAATTGAAGATAATTTTTATTTCTCTCTCTCTCTTTGCTCTTGATCAATTAGCTGCTGTGAGCCTATATGTTTGGTTGCTAGGCAACCTATCTTTAATATTAATACACCATTACATAGAAAACTTTTTCCTAATGTTATCATTGAGCTTTACATTGCATGATGTTTGAAATTATATGTAGTAAATTCTAATCTAGACCTTGTCGATTTGTTTGTTGTCTAATCTCTGGCTTGGAAATTGGGATTTGCTGCTTGCAATTTTCTTTCGTCGGTGGTTCAACTCCAGAAATAATACTCTTGGATGTAGACATTTTTGTGAAGGAAAGGGAGATAATCTGAGGTGTTTCCTCTTAATTTTCATTGACCACCACTCACTTAGTTAGTCTCACAATGATCTATACTAATGTCCAAAAGAAAGTATACACTGTGCATTTCGTGCTGCATCAATCAAAGTCGTTTTCCATCGTATGCAGCATTTGGGTACAATGTCAATCTGTTTCGCTTTTTTTATTTTGTTTATAAATATTGAGTTTGGACGCAAGAGACAAACCCAGTAAAGTTTTGTTGAATGTTTTTAATCAAAATAAAACTTAGTCATATTTTTAATGTGTATACTTTCTTTTGGACATTAGTATACATGTATCATTGCTGACGTTAAAAATCATTCATTTCTTTAGAATTTAATATGCAACACACATCATCTTTCACAGTGCTATTCCGAACTTTGAACTTCAAATGTTTGTAGAATTTTGAGATTTCTGTATAATGTGCATGTATGAAATTAGAAATCTCACACCACACTTTATGTAATGATTACGAAATTTGATTGGGACTGATTTTCTGTAGATCTGCTTGTCATCATGTTGGAGGTGTTTTCCCTATGTAAGTAGATTGCTAGACCCCAAGTATTATGCTTAGATTCCACACCTATAGTCAAGATATATAAAAATATATATTTTATATTCCATAAAACCCCAGCATGACATATACCATAATTACAAACATTTAAGTACAAAATTATTTAAATTGATCACAAGTATAAAAATTATTTTAATTGATCACAAGTATAAAAATTATTATAATGGATCACAAGTACAAAAATTATTATAATGGATCAGAAATACAAAAATTATTATAATGGATCAGGAATACAAAAATTATAATGGATCAGAAATACAAAAATTATTATAATGGATCACGAATACAAAAATTATTATAATGGATCACAAGTACAAAAATTATTATAATGGATCACAAATACAAAAATTATTATAATGGATCACAAGTACAAAAATTATTATAATGGATCACGAATACAAAAATTATTATAATGGATCACAGGTACAAAAATTATTATAATGGATCACAAGTACAAAAATTATTATAATGGATCACAAGTATAAAAATTATTATAATGGATCCACAAGTACAAACATTTTCATAATTGATAAGTTCCAACTAAAATTTCTCTTGATTTCATGGTCACATCTTTAATTGTCTCTTTAATTAAGGTAATAATCTTTTTTAACACAAATTTGCTTAATTAGATTATACGTTAAATAGTGGATGTTTTTGACTTAAGATATTTTTGAACCAACTGACATGTTGGGGCTACAAATATACTGTATGCAATTGATAACCCATTATAGGTTTTATTCTTGAAAACTGTGTTGTTAAAACCTGATCCAAAAATTTACTGTCAGGAAAGAAACAATACTTACTGCATATTACTAGATGTACTAGAATTTTAAGTTAAAAATGTTATAATATTGTCTCTTATTAGGGCAAAACATTTATTTTTCAAAGACAATTTTTTCCTGAATAATTCTTAACATGGTTTTTTTTTTTTTTTCAAATACAATCTGTTTTTTCTCTTTGATAGTTTTGATTTGAAATGAAACAAGGGCTTTTTCCTATCAATTAACAATGCTTGTAGTTTATGTTAGACTTTCATGTAATCTACATGTATTTAATCCATATGGTACTCATTTTATCACAGCTTATAATTGGTTTATTCCTTTGCTTATTATTTATTTATTATTAAGAGCTTTTACATTCAGCTCAGCACCTTGTGTTATATAACCTATTGCACATCTTACATATATTTGTATCATTTTAATCTTGACAAATGAGTCAGGAAATATTGAATATGTGCCAATGGAATGTATTTTTAAAAAATTATGAATGTGTATGTTGAATTTTCATTGCCATTTTAAGCTGGAGAAAATCCCATTTGTCTCAAGCGTTAAAAGCTTAAAAGTGGCATAATCTCCTGATTCTTTATTTCTAGAATTAAATGTATAATATTTGTTTATGATTTATCAACATTATTTGATGTTTTAGTGTATTATCTGTGTAATAATATTTAATATCGCATGTTTGTCATACATATAGTAATAATTATTCCATAAATCAAAATATTAATTAATATGTAGCCTAATAAAATATCAGGCTTATTTTTGGGAGTGTTGGAAACATTCAAAATTATGTCTCGAGTTGAATACTTTCTAATACTTTTGAAGGATAATTTCTTGAACATGAAATAAAGACAAAATAGCTTAGCCGCATGTCCATTGATCAATTATTCAAGTCGAAAATTTAAGTCTAAGAATCGCAGATCAATAATTAACATCGGCGAATCAAAAATATCTGTGTTTACGGTTACCTCACCCAAAACTTGTTTCTCCCATTTCCCAGGTCCTTTAAATCGTTATTGGCATGGTTTTCTGCAGTCAAATTCCAATGAAAAAAAATACTGGTATTTGTAACCCCAGACCAGCATAAGTTTCTGTATTTTTGCTCTAATGAAGCTAAAATTGTTAGGAAATAAACAATTAGGTATCCATGACAAAAAAACACACTCTATATCCCCAAAACGACAAATTCTTACGACCCCCCCTCCCAAAACAGTATTTACAACACCAGACCAGCATAAGTTTCTGTATTTTTGTTCTGTAATGAAGTTAAAATTGTTAGGAAAGAAGCAATTAAGTATCCATGACAAAAGAACATGCCGTATATCCCCAAAAAGTGTCACCCCACCCATCCCCTACGGAAATAAAATTAGAGACCAGGGTAACAAGATCAACCGTCACTGATATGGGGAACAAGTAGCCATAAACATTGGAAAATTTTTATTTGGCCACACAAAACTGTTTCCTCTGAAGTTGGAAAAAAAAAAAGAATTCATGGAGCTGTGAAAATGATTGATCTATCTTGTTCGTAGCAAGCTTCACTTTGATACAAACAATCAAAAAACAACATTGTAAAATGAAGCTGTACTAATCTAGTATATTATGTGGCTTCATATTTATTGTAAGCTTGAAATGCTATGCATGTCTTTAGTGAATAAACTGCCACTTGTATATTATTACTATATATGTTTATTTTTTGCAGGGAAGGATTTCCTATTCAACCTAGCCAGACAGGATTTTGTAAGGTGTACCATTTGACACCATTACTGGCTAATAATCGGGATAAACGTGGACTAGCATTGGATGGAAAGCTCAAACATGAAGACACAAATCTAGCATCATCTACAATGTAAGTTGTGATCGTAGTATTCATCATTGAATTGGTGATTAATACTCAGGAGGGCTGATAAAGCTTCTTGGAGATGTGTTCCCCTTCCCCCCGCCCCTCGAAACCATATTTCCAGGTTTTCTGTTCCTTGGCCACTCCGGTCATGCCTTTGATCAATTTTCTTGGCAATGTCGCAAGCAAAAACAATGAATTGGTGATTAATAGAATTGTTCACAGTTCTAATACTCAGGAACATGATCAAGTTTCTTGGAGATGTTTCTCCCTCCTCCACGCACAATATTTTCATGTATTCTGTCCCTTGGCCACTCTCTGAGGAGGCCAAATCAAGCTGCGTGGAGATACCACAATCAAAAACAAAAATTACAGTGTTTTTAGGTTTTCTGTACCTTGGCCTCTCTGATGCCTTTTGATTCCCGGCTTGTACATGACAAGTATTAGGGTCGCCTGTTCAGCTTTGTGGGTTTTCTCCACGTCCTCTGTTACCCCCTACTGCTAAAGACACCTACGCGCAAGCAAATTTTTGATATTAGTTTAAATCATGTCAGCCCCGAAATAACCTCATTTATGTTGAGTGGACATTAAACCCCATTTCTCTGTCTGTCTCATGCCTTTGATATTTTATTCCAGTATGACAGATACAAGTCAGAAAGAAAGTCTAGGAATAGTCGTATCCTACAGAGTTAAAGTCAAACTTATTTTAGGTTTTGGATCAGGGTGAGTTGTCTTATCTTTCATATGCTGCTAATAACAAGTCCATGTGCTGCAATCATATCGTATTTTAATATCCAGAACTTCAAGTAAGTTTCACGCTTTCAAGGGAGTGCTGACTAAAAACTCCAAGTGCTTTATCATTTTGATAAATTTTAAGATTGTGATATTGCAGACAAGGTTGTTGTGAAACTGTTTATAATTTCGGCTTAAAAAGCTGCTGATAAGGTCACACCAATTTGAATTTAGTTCTTTGGGAAGAGGGAGTTGCAAGGTCTGTTAAGTAGAGTGGTTTCAATTCCGGGCTTGTACATGACAATGTGTACAGGGGACCTGGTTTTTTTGTTCTATCCGAACGACTATTTGTTGTCCCTTGCCAGGCCCCTAGTCCTACACCACTGACAAGGAGGAATGGGACCTCCAGGTTAGCGAGCCAACGTCTTACTCACTGAGCCTCGGTGGCTTCAACCACAAAAGATCCTACACATAAGCGAATTATTGAAATAAAATTGAACCACGTTAGTCCTGAAATGAAAAGGTTTGTGTCAAGTGGATGTTAAACCCCATTTCTATGAATTTATAAAATGCATATTGTATGTTTCAGTGACTTATCGGTAGAACTTCCATTTACCTTGACACACCCGAAACCTCCAGAGAGCCCCCCTCCTTCCAGAGCTGCCAGTCTTGTTCCAGCAGAAGGTGGCGATGCCCCTGTTGATACCAATCTCATCCAACTTGATACAAAGTAAATTCTTTTTCGTTTTAATAAACTTAAGTCCGATATATAAGCTATTTTACATTTTGGAAGGTATTTAATTTTCCTGAACTGCCTCAAGGAAACACTGAACCAGCAAGAAAGACAAAACTGTATTTTAAGTAATGGATTGAATGTGATTCTGTATAGTTCAACTATGGCTGGTACAGGTCTCATGGTTCAGATCATTTCATTTCTTGTTTAAGTTGTCCTTAGAGCCGGGGGGGTTGGATGGCCGAATGGTTAGCACGTGCATGCTGTATCATAAAGTCTGCCATTGAGTCGACTGGCGTGGTTTCGAATCCCCGGTTGTACGTGGCAAGGAGTAGGGTCGCCTGTCCAACCTCGTGGGTTTTCTCTGGGTCCTCCGGTTTCCTCCCACTGCTAAAGACCCCTATGCGCAAGCGAATTATGTAAATAAAATTAAACCATATGTTAGTCCGGAAATGACCTAGTTTGTGTCAAGTGGACGTTAAACCCCATTTCTCTCTCTCTCTCTTTCATTTCTTGTTCAAGTTGTCCTTAGAGCCATCAATACAGTGATACTTTTCTTCTATGTATATCTGAAAAAAAAAGACTCTTTGTCATAGAAGACAAGAACACCACCTTAAAGTTTAAATTCTCCAACTGATAGCAATGAAGAGTTTCATTCGCATTTTCGCATTCTATTATATTTGTTGTGTATAATAATAATAATCTTACTTTGATTTCAGTGGTGAAGCTTTCTATGGCGACAAGGATGATGATTTCATTTTTGAAGACTTTGCAAGACTTCGTCTGAAGGGTCACGAAGGAGACGACACAGAGGCCTAAAATCTGAGAGCGCAATTTGTTGTTCGTTTATATCATATTAATCCAACACTCACTTAACTCGCTCAAAGGATATTATAGAGTATAGCTTGTACGTAACTCTACCTAAATTTTACTATTTTGTTTCTTGGTGGTTCGTAACAATGACAAAATATTTTGTCCGGTTGTCTCTCCCAAAGTAAATGTGTTCCGCAGTGAATTCCTTAGTAGATGAATTCACATATTTATGTATATATTTATATATATTTACAGAACAAAACACTTATTCTATTTTTGTTCAAGATTTGAGACAGTGATTGTTATCGTGATAGTTTATTTTTGCGGCCAGAAGATAAGGTTTTTAGAAATATTTTATGTAGGAAATTTGCAAATTGATACGAGTGTGTTCAGCTATATGATTTGAGCCATGTTATCCAAGATGACAAAGGAGGTTATGAACACAAAGTGAGGAGTATCACAAAGAACTTTGAACAAATGAGAAAATGATCAATTTTAGAACAAAAATATTTTGCAGCAGAAGTGAGTGATCAGTAATTCACCTTCGCCCAAATTCTATTTTCAAAATGTTATTCGTTCAAATTTAAAAACAGGGATTTGAGAAAATGATTTTTTACAATTTTGATTAATCAAGAGTATATTGGACATTATTGGTCAACTGGCACTACACATTCAGTAAAGTACCATGTCCTCTACCACGAAGCCAAAACAAATGAAATGAAAACATAGATTCGGTTATGTTGTTCCTTTATAATTTTTTTTTATATTTTTTTTTACACAACAAATGTGTTAATAGTTAAACTTACTGCAGTTAAAGTCATAGAGTAATTGTGTTCATGAATTTGTTGTCATAATTTCAAATGATGTAAAGTGGACTTGAACATTGAACTTTTAACAAGTTAAATCTGGATAGACATTGGAATGCGCAAATTCAGGCTATGTCAGGCATAACTCTTCTGATGCCTGTCATTTTTTCCTGCATATATTGATCTTTAGTGTATCTTTTATTGATATTTTAATGTCTAACACAACGTTCAAGATGTCTGATACAACTTCATTAGTACCTGGCGTTTTGTCCAGTACAACTAAAACCGCTATTTCCAGGCCTCTGGCATTTTGTCCAGTACAACAAAAACTACTATTCAGGTCTGCATGTCGCATTAATTTCAACAGAATTTTAAGTTCACTTGCAATAATTTAATGTCTATAGAACATTTACTTCTTTCATATGTGTTCTCTAAATGTTTGTCTTTGTTCATTTCATTAATTTATAGGTTTATTTCAAACAAATGGAAACTTTTGAATGATGAATACTTTGCATGTATTTTTAACATTAAGTTTCATGCCAAATGCTTTCTAAATATATCCACCCTCCCTTGTATATATATGTTCTTGCATATGTGAGCATTTTTAAATGCATTTGTAATGTATGCAAGTGTATTTTTATGTGTTCATTTTAATGAAAAAAAAACATTATTTGTAATTGCCGGATAGATATTTATATATTGAAAGCATTTAAATTATGTATCTGTTGTATTAATATGTAAATGTTTGTATTTATTGTATTATTGGTTTTATTCGAGGTGGCCTATAATAATTGGGGGCCAATGATGTTTTATTAAAAATCCAGGAAAAATAACTGATTACCGGTAGATATTAATTCTTAATATTCTGGAAAGATCATATTTTCTTTAGTTATTAATGATGTTCTAGGTCTTAAATTTTCCCCAAACAGAATTTAGTGGGAGTTTTATCAATTTTGTTGTTTTGGTTTAACATTGGTTGATAAATTACTGTTAAAATTAAATTTGAGATATACTGTAGTAAGGTGTATGCTTCATAATATAATTGATATCCTGTTTTTTAAAATCTGAATCTTGATAAACTCTTTTTGTCCAAGATAACAAATATTCTTAAAAAAATTATACGCCCACATTTTCATGTGGATGTATATTGTCGTTGCCCCTGTCCGCAGGTCACACTTTTTATAAGATTTTGACAAAACTTGAAATATAGGTTTATCTCCAAATGATCTTCGTTCCTTTCGATATTGGCATGTATCAGACCGTAACTTGATGGATTATGCCCCCTGATTGTACGAAAAAATCACGTTTTTAGCTCGTGGACACTCTAATATGTCACAATTTTTATCCACTTTTGAGGAAGCTTGAAATGTAGTTTATATCCCCTGATTGTACAAAAATCGCATTTTTAGCTTGTGGTTCCTCTAGATGTCCCAATTTTTATCCGATTTGAAAAAGCATTAAATTATATCACCGTTACACCATAACGTTTTCTGTACATCTCTTGCAAAATATGGGCGTATGCTGCATGGCAACCGCTGGTTTGACAGTCGAAACAATTATCCAAAGGCCAACTGACAAATTAAGTTGTCTGGTGTAATCAGTTACTCTTGAATTAAGAAACTGTAAAAACACAGGTTAATGATTCACGTATATACGGGCGAAACAGCATCCATGATGTAAATTGATACATGTGAGGATTTGGGTTTTTAGGATAATGTTGTAACTTTTAAGTGTAGGGCAGTAAAATCCATTGTTTTTTTATAATGATATATATATATATATCTGACTATTATTGTATTATATTATTATTATTATTATTATTATTATTGATTGTATATCTATCTTATTGAACATATATCCATGTACTATTTGTAATGTATAAGTACGAAACCGGGCTGGGCCCTGGTTAATATCTACGTCATTTGATGCTCTAGTCATATGATATCTATTAAATCTTTATTTAACTTTTCTCTCTTTATACTTTCTTAAGAAAGTGGTACCTTATGACATTTATAGCTCACTTATAAATCAGGACCCAAATGCTCCCAGTGTTGGCTGCACATATTTGCGAAATTTAATGTACATCATTGTACATTTGGCAGGAAGGTTGCTTATACAGACAGAGTTATATTTTATATCTGATATCGATGTTGTTTGAACATATATTGGGATTTTTCATAGAAATTTTAATGAATTAGTAGTTCACTCTTTATTAAAGATACATTATGGGAGATTACATGTAGATAAAGAGCTGGCAGTTCTCACTATAATAGTTAAAAACTAGATAATGTAAAGGCAATTTGCTGAAAATTTCAGTCAAATTGATCCACTATGAACCGAGAATTAAGCGATTGAAATTTTGGCCTAGCCTCGATCACCATTACTAAAGTCTGTACGATAAAAAATTTAGTCTCGATCATCCATTCCATGATTAAATTAAGAATGGAAGTCGAGCTGCAAATGGGATCATAATCCAGTAAATATCACAGGCTGGCGATGCCTTCGAGAGTTGATTATGGTTTCAATAAGTTAATTAATGTCTAATTAATAATTTAGAAAACATTTAAAGCCTAAAGAAAGACCTGCAATTGGCAGATTTAGCTCTTGCATAATGTATGTTTAGTTGTAGATTCCTTAAAAATAAGGATGTCAAATAAGTTTGTTTTTGATGATTGAAATTAATAGTAGAGAAATCAAACTGGTTTTTATTTGAATATGCAGCTTGTGAGCATAAATACAATTAAGTTATTGCAGAATTAATTGTTATGTGATTGAATATCCAATCTGGATTTAAAATAGTGGGTTACAAAATTCAGACCTAATTAAATGATATTGAGGTGTGGGGTCAGTGGCATAGCTAGGTGGTCGTTGGGAGGGTGGGGAGGCGAGCAAGGGGAGCGACTGCTCCACATTTTTCAAAAGTGGTGCCTTTTCAACAGTTTTTTTTAACTTTTCAGTTCACTGGTGCATAAAATTTGAAAAATATTCTTTTCGTTTTTATTTTAATTGCATGGTTTTGGAAGAAATTTCTGGACTTATTACTTTATTCAACCAATATCCTCTGATTTTCATTAAATGTATAATGAATTTAAAATTATTTGTTACATGCTATGGCGCCTTTTTATACGTGCTCGCTCACCCCCAACTTTAGAACCTGTCTATCGCTACTTACCTCCCTTAGACAAGACATAAATATGGGTTCACTGAAGCATCTGTACATCAATACTAAACAAAGTGGTTGATTTTGAATGAAGGGATCAGAGTGGTGACTTCCTTTAATCAAGACTTCTATTTTGGTCTTGCCTAATTGTGATGTTTATTTTTTCGATGCTGTTAAATTTGAAGTAGTGTAATTGAGAAATCATTTGGTTGTTTTTACTTCAAGCCAGTTTTTTGGGTCTGTGCCATGTCAGGGGCCAATAGCGTCAGTTTTAATTATGAATAAGCATCAATTGTGATACCACAAATGCCTATCCCATTCCACCATTTGACGATAAAGGATGAAGCATACGACCGTGACACTTGTCTCACAATTTTTTTTTATGTAGCTGAGCAGTAGGGGGTTTCCACCCCGATCCGCCCCGGCATGTACACATACATCCATGGGTGAGGTGTGTGGGGTAAAAGTTTGAAACAACTGAAGGGTTTCTCTATTCACGATCTGACTTGACAGCATGTAGAAATATTTAGATTGTTAAGAATCTCATGTATGTATTCGTTCTTGCGGTAAACAGTTTTTTTGTTGTCTACCTTATAGGTTTTTTTTACAGATATTGTTTGTTTTTGTTTTTTTTTTGTAAAGTAATCTATGGAGTCACTATAAGATGTTTTTATAAAATAAATGTACTGGTGCATCTCTTCAATTTGTGACTAAAAGTTTACCTCTTCAGCTTACTACTCAATCTAAATACTTCATGTATATTAGTCCATGCTAATAAAATAAATGTTCCAATAAACCATTCTCAAGTTTTATTGTCGGTTGTACTTGACACGGAGTAGGGTCCCCTGTCCAACTTCGTGGGTTTTCTCTGGGTCCTCCGGTTTCCTCCCACTGCTAAAGTCACCTGGCGTGGTTTCGAATCCCCGGTTGTACGTGACAAGGAGTAGGGTCGCCTGTCCAACTTCGTGGATTTTCTCCGGGTCCTCCGGTTTCCTCCCACTGCTAAAGAACCCTACGCCCAAGCGAATTATTGAAATAAAATTGAACCAAATGTTAGTCCCGAAATGACCTAGTTTGTGTCGAGGGGACGTTAAACCCCATTTCTCTCTCTCTCCCTCTCTCTCTACACAACGTTATTCTTAAAATACTTTTTACATCAAGCAGGATACAAAGTTTACTTAAAAATAACATCTTTCAGTCTATCTCGACTCCACTCAGGTAACAGTGTACACACAGGGTCTCGGTTTTCGTCCCATCCGAACGACTATACATGTCCATTGCCACGTCCTGCACCACTGACAAGGGGAAACCACACCGGAAAATCCATATGAACTTTTGCGGCCAATACAGCGATCGTACATGGGACCTCCATGTTAGCGAGTCAGTGATTCCACAACATGAAATAATGGCACGTTTAAAATCATTAGAAGCGTGCATGCAGGGTTAAATCTATTTGTTAAGGCCAGCTCAATTTTTGTCAAGGTCGATGATATGTAAATGAGGTTAGGACACGTGATTTTTGGTGAGATTACAGTAAGCATTGGGGCTAGGTCCAGGGTTAGGATTGGGACTTACATCTCGTGACCTATGACGAAAAATTGAGCTGGCCTTATCATTTAGCACTAACTATGCATGCATTAGTGATATAAATATATTTCAGATAATTGTGGGATATTTGTGGAAATGTTTTACAACCCCATGGCATTGGCCTGAATTTAACAATGAATGGAGAAAAGAAAGACTGTAGGGTGCCAGAATGATCGTTATTTGAAGCAGCTAAGTCTTATTGAGTTAAAACTCAATATCATCCAAAGGCTTCGACATTGAAAACACGAATTATTTGTCAATTTAAATCAACATTGATGTTGTGATCTTACCGGGAAAAGATGGGCTTCTAAAATGCAATATTTAAGACAAAATAAACATTTTACCATTGGTACACGAATCGTGTACCATAATGCGTTTCAGCGCCATTTGTAACAAGGGGTTCGAAGAACGGTGCTAGACATATTCCACAAGTCATGGCAAACGGTGACGTTATATTCTTATCTTGAGAGCATGCGCAATAAATACTATTGATGGAGAGTGGAATAACCAGACAGTAGAGACTGCTATTCGATTGAGACTTCTGGCGTATTTCGTCGACAATAACTGATTTAAAATTAGAGTAAAAATGGAAACGATTGTAGGTTATGTAAATCGGTTTATATACATTCACATCACATTATCATATGGGTTGCGACCCATTTGTTTCAATTTCTATGTCCCAAGCAAAACAGTAGGACGTTAAACCCCATTTCATTTCATTCCTATGTGCCAAATATATATTAGCTCTTTTAAACCAGGTTGTCTCCCTTATATCAGTGGATCGTATACAACGGTTCCATTTATTATAGATTATTGCACGCTCTAGTATAGTGGGGAATAATATTGCATTTTATTAACGATCGGAAAATTAAAATCGCCTCGTTTATCGTTGCACGATTAGTTGATGCAGTTTACAAGAATATCGCGAAATTGTCAATACCGCCACATCTTGGATTTCTTTTATTACGAAATCTTGAAGAATGATAAAGTCTAAACAATCAGTCAATCTGGAAATATTTAAGGATTAGACGTAATTTTTATATGTCTTTACGAGATATAAGGGTGGGAGAAAACCGGAGGATCCGGAGAAAACCCACGAGGTTGGACAGGTGACCTTACTACTTGTCACGTACAACCGAGGATTCAAAACCACACCATTTGACTCAATGCCAGACCTTATGATAAAGCGTACACGTGCTAACCATTCGGCCATCCAACCCCCCACTCCTGACAAGTGATAAACTGTATCAAACGCTCAGTGGTTTGAGAGGCCTTTAGTTCTCATCACGGGGGGGTTGGATGGCCGAATGGTTAGCACGCGCGCGCTATATCATACGGTCTGTCATTGAGTCAACTGGCGGGGTTTCGATTCCCCGGTTGTACGTAGCAAGGAGTAGGGTCGCCTGTCCATCCTCGTGGGTTTTCTCCGGGTCCTCCGGTTTCCCGCCACTGCTAAAGACCCCTACGCGCAAGCGAATTATTGAAATAAAATTGAACCATGTGTTAGTCCCGAAATGACCTAGTTTGTGTCGAGTGGACGTTAAACCCCATTTCTCTCTCTCTCTCTAGTTCTCATCTCCTTCCTTTAATTTTTATTTGTCTTACTCTATAATCATTATTGCATAAACCCTCCCCTGAAAAATGACTTTTTGATAATCATTCCAACCGCGTAAATATATGCTTCTTTTTGGTAAAATTTTTGTCAAGGCATTCACTTTATGTACAATTTAACACAACCATGTCTAGGTCAACTTTGATATTTAATTTTCCCTTAGTATTTTTTTTCGTGATTCGACATATTTAAGCACGGGTGAAACAAAGAAAGAATCGGATATTAATATGGCTAGACAGTTTTGATTTAGGTCAAGAATAAAAATAGTTGATTATACTGAATATTGTCTATGATGTTTTGTTTCGTGAGATGATAATCTGTCTTGGTTGAATATTTTAAATCTATAGATAAGGCCAGTATTGATTGAGATTACCCGATTCTGTGTTCCTCTGTTGTCTCAGTCGATAATTAAAGTTACAAAATATCGGTACAGAATTGGTTCAAATCCGTTCAGTATTTGCAAAGATATGTTGAACTGAAATTTCATTGATCTATGCGACTCGCTATATATCACTCGGCAAACCTCAGCAAATTCCAGTACCCTATATCTAGCCTCGGCTGTATGACGAAATCCGCCATTTGAACTACTTTCAAGTTCCCTTTGAAGAATGTTTTATCATACAAATATTTCAAAGTCTGGAGCTGTTTTTCTTTCAAGTTTATCCGATTTTCTTCAGACAAGGACAACTATGCACTGAAAATTCTACACACGCTTCGAACGACGCAATTTAGATAAATTTTTTTTTAAAAAGCGGCAAGTTTTGCTAATAAGTAAACCGGTGCCGCATCGCAATTGTATAGGCGTAGGGACATATCACTTAACGTTATACAGCGGAGGCTAGATATATATATATATATATATATATATATAATAAGCCCGTCGCCATTTTGTTTTCTGCGAGTGGATTCGATGGGCTTGTTTTAAATCCGAATTAAGCCAAGCTGGGATTATCTAGCGTTGATATTTTGATTTTTTTTTAAATTAAATGTTAAATAATCAATCTGCGAGAACTTATTAGCGTGGATTAAGAAATGAGTTTTTGATATTTTAGCGAAAAATGCAAATGAATGATCGTTAGTAAACCAACCGATTTCGATTAATCTGTCGAAACACCCAGGGTCCGATTTTTAAAAATCTTAACTAAAGATACAATCCAAATTTTAGTAGATACTTCAATTTTGATTGGCTAAGCATTAAAATCAATATAATATTATCCAATCAAGTTACTAAAAGTTGGATTTTATCTTTGTTAAAATTTCGTGAAACAGGCCCCTGTACCACTGTACTATGGCCCAGGAACTGAGTATGACGTCATCGTAGCCATTTTGGAATTGTGTCTTCATAAAAAGATCCGCCAATTGATGCGCAATTGTCCAAGGAACGACCATGCGAAATTTCATGTCGGCGGTACATGAATTGCCGGAGCCATAGCGTCGCCGCCAAGGACAACACGAACAAGGTGAGGAGTGCCTTGCGAGCAGTTCCTGGTTCCTGGCCCAAAACTTAATGGAAATAAAGACTGCGCAGTCACCAATCAAGCTATTACCCCGATTCCATCATTTATTTATACTTAAATCAGATTATCTCCTTTAATCCAGACAAGAAGTAGACCGGATCGCCTGTCCAACCTCGCGGGTTTTCTCCTGGTTCTCCGGTTTCCTCCCACTGCTAATGCTCCTACGCGCAAGCGAATTATTGAAATAAAAATTTAAACCATATGTTAGTCCCGAAATGACCTAGTTTGTGTCGAGTGGACGTTAAACCCCATTTCTCTGTCTCTGTGTTTCTCTGGCTGTCTCTCTCTCTCTCTCTCTCTCTCATGGGCGGCATTTGAACTATTAAGAGTCAGCCGTATTTATGTGGCTTTAAAGAAAAAAAAGAAAAAAATATCCGCTATATATTTAGTCCGATTTAAGACTACATGTATTTTGAATTTAATATAAAGTTAATAGCATTTATTCTCTTGGTGAGAATGATAATTCCTCTTTCAATTATAAGCATTTCTCTTTTTTTATGTTTAAAGAGTTAGATAAGTCACGACATGGGTTTAGTTCGCGTTACGCTCTTTCTAAATACATTTATACTTTTACCCTGTTTATAGCTGTCGTGTTATTTTTTCATGCCAAAGACAATTTAAGAACATTTATTGGTGAAAAAGTAATGGCCCACGGGAGTGACTTAGTTGCTTAGACAAAGCATGTGTTCCTTTTTTTTCTGTATAAAATTGCTTTCATTTTAGAGCAGCATTACTCGCGTTTCCATTTGCAGAAAGGCCAAAAGCTATTTTCAAGTGAATTATGGGATAGAATTGTTCGAAAATGAGCGTGGAGATTGAATGTCGTGCCTCGGCATTTTTATAACGACCACGAAACTAGCGGTTTACAGGCTAATTTTATAAAATAATACATTTGGCCTCTGGTAACATTTACTTAGAGAAGTCGACATCGTCTTTTCTTCTGATTGAACGTTTGAGAACACGATAGATAGATAGATGATATTTTCTCGACTATGAATGAATGTGGTTTTATAGGTGACATGAAATTAGAAGCCCCAAGCAGGATAAGTACAGATTTATTTAAAGACTCGACTCGCTTGT